AAAAGATAGCAGCACACAAGCTATGGAATAAGAGTGAGATGCAAAACTTTTCTCCTCCATGCCCTTTTGCCAGAGTTTTAGAGCTGAATCAAAAAAAAAAAAAGAAAAAAAAAAAAAAGATATTTTAAAACATGGTCTTATTTCCAGTACTAACCATAGCAAACCAAAGTAATTAAGTTGGGCAATTTTGCCTCCCAAAGGCAAAAATTATTAGATGTCAATCTATCATGGACAATAAGACTTGCTGAGCCTATTTGGGTTGTTTTTACACCAGTGTTTTCCAAAGCTTTGCCATTCACACCTTATTGTGGTGCTGTCTCTCTTGGTGCTTCTTCTTCCTGCTTTTAAAAGAAAGGAAACAATTCTGTGCTACAGTTGAGAGAGATGTGTCCTGAGGGGTATAAAGCCCTTTCCATCCCTAAGAGGCCACAACACTTTATAATTATAAGTGAGTTTTGTCAGCTCAAGGCTGCTCTTCCACAGTTCTCCTGTCCATAGTAGTGCAATGTTGACACAGACATTATTTTTCCATGGAGATGGTATAATTTTGTACTTGTGAGAGACAGACAGGGAAGCTCTGCATGCCCAGCACAAGGAATTTGTGACAGGAGAGTCTTTTATATCACAGATAAAGTGCCTGAAGCTTGTTTGTGTTTTGCATTGGGTGGGGTGACCAGGGCCTTGGTGTTAGTCCAAGCTCATCTGATGAAGATGGCAAATGGGCCCTCAATGGCTACTGAGCCTTGTGTTCAGACCAGACAACAATAATTGATCCAGTCCACATTTTATACATTTCTGGCTTGGTCTTGTTGGGTTTTTTTAACATCTGTGTCCTTTAACTCAGCTTTTCTGAGGTGGTCATCTCCTTGGTGATTTCATCATCTAACTTAGCAAATATGGCTGGTGAGAATCTTAGTTCATCTGAACTGCTCCCTTTGCATATTTGCTGTTTCTGAACAGCTTTCCAAGAGCTTTTATTTTTCCTGACTTGCAGTCAGTAAGTGAAAGTTGAATGTTCAATAGAAGTTCAGAATTAAACCTGGATTACAGTTGGTTTATTCATACCTCTCCCAAGTCAGTTTGCTGCGCCAGTCATAATGTTCCTTTTTTGTCAACTGCTGAGCATTCCTTGCCAAAGCTAACAATTCATAGGCCTCAGCTGGATTCCATGTCCTACCAGTGAACTCAACCCATACATCACCAAATAAACTGTTGGATAAATAGATAAGTAAACTGTAGCTGAAATTGAAGATGCCCTGGGCCTGACATAGATGAGCCTTTTCTGATTTGTGAGTCACCTCCTGACTAACTGTACAAGCTATGGAACAGAAAAATCTAATCTGGTGTGTCAAAGAAAAAATATTGAATTAATATCTTTGGATCAACAACCTTAGAAACTTTACCTGGTACTAGCAATATGAACTTCAGAGGGAAGGACTACTTTTCTACATTATCTACTAAAATTTTTCAGTGAGTGACAAACAGCAGCACCAGAGCAAATATGAACTTTTCATTACCCTATGAGGATCATCACTTCCTTAGATTTTGTCTCACTCTGCAATCTGAAGATCAGGTTTCTGCTTGCTGTAATCGTGTCTCCCTTCCCTGCGCAGGAGTCAATAAGATGCAAAAAATATCATTGACAAAGCCATACAGGATTTCGGTGATTTCTACTCCATCTCCAGTCCAGATTTCTTATTTTTTGCATCAACTAGAATGTCCGTTCTGGATATGGTAATGTTGCTTTTGCTACAGTCAAGTTGATATCTTAAAAAAGTAAAAGAGGGTTACCTGAAATATAGGAAGGATAGCTCAATCTTAACACTTAGACTGATGGTGCATTGCTAGCAATTAAACTTTCCAGACATATCTTAAAATGTTTTAAAGGTGTTCTGAAAAAAATTCAGCCACATAAAAATAAGTTGAGTGAGGGAAGGCAGACACAAATTTTCCTGCTAGTGACTTAGCTGTGAGGTTATGCCTCCTAAGATGTTTAGCAGATTGTTTCTGACTTTGTTGTTTCTGTTTCAGTGGTATGACCCATATATTCTTTATCTTGTCAGCTCTTAAATTCCAGTTTGATGATGCTTTGTTTGTGCTCTGTCAGAACCTTCATTAATTTAATTATCTAAATTATCCACATACATGGAATCTGTATGGGATGAGGAAGCTTCAGTGAACAGGTCATGACATTATTTTTCATATACTTGTTAAAAGTGGCATGGGACAGGAGAACTGTTTGATGAGACTAGGGCTCTCTCCTATAAAGTTAAATACATTTTCATGAAAGTCCTTTTTGAAGAACAATTTAGTGGGAATTGACTTAGGCCCCTTGAAGCAGAGGGAAAGGAAGTTGTTTGCAGGTTGTTAGTATTGACTGCACTGGTAAGTAGAGAGGGAAGAAGGAAACTTTTCTGGCTTTAGTGCTTCTAGGATGATGTTACCTCTCTGGTTTCTCTCACTTAGAAGCTCAGATTGGTTGCTTGGAGCAATCTGATATAATGGCCTCAGTAATGTCAATGTCTCATAGAAGTGATTCCATCCTAAAACCCTCTTGTAAATGTGATGGCCTCAACAACCAAACTGCTTCACCAAACTGCCTGTTACTCCCCATGTCTCATGGCTCACTGCCTTGTAGACTCCTGTCCAGAAGAAAATTTTTATTCAGGACTGGCTCTATCATTACCTCAATGGCCACGTAAGCAAAAGTCTTGAAATGCACTATCATCTCAAGAGGTTGAAGCGGAATAACACAGTAATCCTTGTTCCAAATTAACTGAACAAACTGGCAGACTGCCCAAGATCATACAATGAAGCACCATGTAAATATCAGATTGTCTCTGAAACCAGTTTAGTATCTTCATAAATTAAGATTAAAATGCCCTTTAACATTATTTAAGTACATATGGTGACGTACAGGCAAGAATTTGCTTGATAGAAGAGTAAATAAATCGACTCTTCCAAATTTGCAAATGTGCAATGACCTAGCTAGTATAGGTCTAATAATCTTTAGAATCACACCAACAATTAATCCAAGTGCCCTGGCTGGAGCCCAGCCATAGTAATGTAGTTCCACCTGACTGACTAAACTTCTTTTGTAGTTGCTGTGGGTCTGAAGTTCCTACTCTAACAGTGACAGCAAATCTACTAAAGAGCCTGCATCTTTTTCCCTCCTGAACAGTAGCACAACTTTCCTTCTTTTCTTCCTCAGCTATTATTTCACAAGGTAACAGAATGGAGAACAAACAGCAAAGCAACGGCATGATGAAAGAAAATGATGCAGTAAAGAAAAAAGTGGTGAGTGAATTAATCAAATCTTCTTTCAAGGCATTTGTTTGCTATTTGGAGACTGGAGGTGGAAAATAATTATAAAATAATTATTATAAAATAATTGTTTGGAACCTATATGAATACTTACTCTTTTTTTGAGTAGCATATGTTTAGTTTCTGTAACTAACCAACAGTGATTGGAAAGGGTCAAAAATTGTGAGCATGTTAAGGTGAGAAATTATGTACATATTAATCACATGTAGTCATGGTATTTGTATTTGAGTATGAAATGAACTACTTGCACCTATTTAACATGAAACAAAACAAAACACAGGTGTCTGATTCATCTCAAATGCACTCTATATATTCCAGGGACTTGATTCTCTAACTTGACTTATTTTTTTGACTCTTACAACAATTCAAAGGGAGGATAAATATTGTCCAGATCTTCTATCAACATGTATAATAATTGTACACACTCATGAGTATCCTCTGGCTTTCTATTCAAACACCAGTCATCTTGATCTGAGCCAATGACATCTTGAAATTTCTGCATCATAAACTGTTTCCCAGCCTGCATTGCTTAGTGGAATTACTTACTATGTCTCTGAGAGCTCTGAGATAGTTCTGAGGTATGTACATATCAGAAGTGAAAACAGCTCAGATTTACACCAGTATCAGCTACAGTCACTTGGGGACAATTCCCAGATGCACATCATTGCCAACTAGAAGGTGGCATTTGACTCTTAGCAGTTCAAAATTCCGTGTTTGCAAGTAGGTACCTTCAAATATAATAGCTGAAAGCTTTTATCTTCCTCAGGTGGCATGCCTAGTCCCCATCCTTAACACAGCAGTAGTGTGGCGTGTCAGATCTAAACCTCCTAAGGCTGTGGAAACATCCTCAACATCTTAATTGCCTACAAGTCTTGTGGTACCTTCACTTTCTACCCTCGGCAACACGGGAAGTCTTTCTCACCTTAGTCTAGAGTCCGGCTCACCGCAAGGCTGCCCGGATCTCCAGTCGGGACCGCGGCAGAGATCCCTGCAAGCCGTGGTTCCCCAGTCCCACTGCCACTTGGGGCCGCGATGGACACGAGTGGCGACATTGCCCTGCCCTACGTGCTCTGCTGGCTCAGTCCCCGCGGAGGGACAGCCCCGGGCACGGCGGCGGGCGGGCACATTCCCCTGAGTTATGTGCGAGCACGAACAGCAGCGAGCCCGTGCTCCCTCCCCATCGCTCGGGTCCTGCCCGCAGCCCCGGGCACCGGCTCTGTTCCCTCCCGAGAGCCGCCTCCTCCCGCGGCCGGAGCAGGGATTGGGACAGGGGCAGGGACAGGGATAGGGACAGGGAGCGGGACAGGGGCAGGGACAGGGGCTGGGATAGGGATAGGGGCAGGGACAGGAACAGGGGCAGAGAAGGGGGTAGGGGCAGGGACAGGGGCAGGGACAGGGACAGGGGCAGGGGCAGGGACAGGGGCAGGGGCAGGGACAGGGACAGGGGCAGAGATAGGGGCAGGGACAGGAACAGGGGCAGAGAAGGGGGCAGGGACAGGGATAGGGGCAGGGACCGAGGTAGGGGCAGGGACCGGGGCAGGGCCGCAGGGCCCCGGACGCCCCCGAGCTCCCGGCGCGGCCCCCCCGCCGCCGCCGCCGCCCCCCGCGGCCGCGCCCCCGCTGCCCCCGGAGATGCGCGGCCGTTGCGCCCGTGCGGCGGCGGCGCGGACGGAGCCATGGACGGAGCGGCGGAGCCCGAGGCGCACACGCTGGTGAAGCGCGGAGCGGGGGGCGGCGGCCGCGGTGTAAGTAGTGCGGGGCGCTTTCCGCGGTGCGGGAATGCCCGCAGCCCTTACCGCGGAGCGGGAGCGAGCCCGGCGCTGCGGGCGGGGAAGCTCGGCCTGCGATGCCCACGCCTCGGGGAGGATTAACGGGAGAGGGAGTGATTCCCATCCTCTCAGGCGTGGTGGGGAGGGTGGTGCGCGGAAGCTGCGGGAGCCGGAGTAACAGCCCGGGGCTTCCCCGAGAGCCGGGCACAGCTCACAGGTTGCACAGCCCGTCCCCGCTCGGGAAGTTGCTGGTGCCGGTGCAGAGGAGCCAGGCCGGTGTTGGGCAGAGCTAATAGCACCGCAGCCCCCGAGCCGGGACGCGGAGGATGCGCGGGGTCAGCGCGGGGCCGGGGGCGTCGCCGCCACTGCCGCGGGTGAAGCGCCGGCCGGCCAGCGCTGAGCGAGGCGAGGGCGCCGCTGCTGCTCCCTCGCTGCTCCCCAGGACCATCCTATTGCAAAGCTCTCAGGGCGAGGGCAGAGGCGGAGAGAGGGACGGAGGTTTCCATTGATCGCCCGCAGCCCCGAGGGCAGAGCTGGCGGAGGGCGCCGGGACCGCGGGCACCTGCCGGGAGCGCCTGGCCCAGCCGGAGCTGCGGCTCCCCGGTATGGTGCTCCAGAGTCCAGCCTTCCCGTGTCAATCAGCAATAGCTATTTAAAAATATTAAACCTCCTTATGCACGCATGCGATGTTTGCCGCTAACGATTGTGCTTAATTTAAGTCTGAGGAGGGGGCTATAACTAGCCAAAGTACAACACTCTAAACGGTGTTTTGAAAAATGAGGTGCGAATCGTCATGCAGTAAATGGAAAAAAAAAAAAAAAGGCAAATTGAGACTCATGGTAGCCAGCACAAATATTTCACTGCATACTGAATAAGGGCTGGAGTTGAGAAAAACATCTGTAGAGCACAGTGCCCTGGGATCTGTGATTAGACCAAAAACGTGGGCTTTCACAAGTAAGCAATCCTCGGGTACCTGCAGGTGTTTGCTGTGAGCTGACATGCAGCTTTCCTGACTGAACTCTCATTGCTGTGGTGACGGTGACACGTCCCTACCCTGGGCCGACAGCAGGGACGCATGAGCTCACACACACCCGGCCGTGAAGCCAAGGAACACCTGAGAAGGAGGCGTGGCTGCCTTCTTGCTTCCTGGCCATTTAGAAGACACTGGGGTTGTGCTTATCTTCTACTAATGTTGCCACAGGGTAAATTTTTTTTGAGCAACAGTTTGATTTTTGGTTTTTTTTTTTTGCATTCTTGCTTCATTGTGCTTTTGTCTTTATCTGGTGTTGCTGAAACCTGAGCAAATATTTAAAATAGTAAATGAGGAGACAGGCCATGGAGAAGTTGAAGTTCATGTTCCACGTTCCAAAACCTCTGAATTGAGTGAGCCTGAAGTTTTCTGCAGCTGCTATATACTTAAAAACTCCAGTATTGAATAAGTTTCTAAACCCAGCTATCACAGTGTGAAATTTTCTGTGCACCTCTGTGATTTGCCCTGCAGTATCTTCCACTTAGCCTCACGTGCATATAATTTTGCCTGTACTGAAATTTTTATGCATTCATTGATGTTTTTAATAACCATTTGGCTATATGTTCCAAATAATTTTGATTGCAGGATTTTCTGATGTGTCTAATGTTGTTGAAGTAGAGCCCTTTAGAAATATTGCATTGAGATTACTGCATAACACTTGGGAACTCACACTTACTGCTTGTGAACCCTTTGGGAGCAGCCTGGTAGACCACCAGAAATATTTTCCCCAGCATTCATTCAGAGTAGTAGCAATTCCTTCTAAGTGCAGGAATGTTTGTGCATAGCAGAGAAATAATAAGCACCCAATATGAGATGTTATCATCAGAAGTTAAATAAAGCCTTATGTCAAGTTTCTGCATTTTGTTGACAAAGTAATGGTGCAAACTCTGTGTGTGTGTGTGGCAGACTCATTTTAAGAAGCTGGCTAATAACAATAAATTTTGTTTGGCTTATGTAATGATCTCAACGGGATATATTTCGTACACAAGGCTTTTGGCCCCCTGCACACTTCCTCCTGACCTGACCAAAAGCAGGCTGGTTAATGAACTGTGTAATCTCTTAAAAGGTTCCCACACCATGTGGATGAAGTGAAAAGCACCCAGGTGTCCTGCAGGGTTCATTTTGAACACTCAGAGCTGGCAGCTCCGAGCGTGGCAGACCCACAAGTGCTGGGCTGTACACTGTGCTCCCCACCCTGGCACCCGGGTGTCTCATCCCATCTCCACAGGTGACAGAGCCGGTGACAACAGTGGGGCACAGGAGCTCTGGCACATGCCCATAGCTACGGCCTGTCCACCTGCCCTGCTGTGCCCACAGGGCTGGTGGAGCTCGTTCCAGTCGCTGTCACTGCAGCCATGCCATGTGCCAGCTACACAACCCTCCTTCATGCTCAGGACCTGCTTTTCCCAAAGTGACCACACAGCTTTGTGCAGCTGACAGAACATATTCACTCATTAACCTGCTGTGGTGTGGTCAGTGCTAGAACTGAAGCTGAGTTCCTTAGGCATGCTTAAACAGGTCTTCCTCCTTTTGAAAGGATTGGGGCTTCAGTGAATGAGGAAGCTGGGCATAAATTGCAGTGAACTGTTCCTGAAATTCTATATTCTTATCATAGCTGGTTTTTAAAATTGAAAACACATTAAAAATACATTCATTTTAGCACATTCAGAGCTGTCTTTCATTATCTACACAATGATATTTGCAATTGACCAGCCACCCAAACACTAACTCCAATGTCTCTTGGGAATGGCTGGGAATGGTCTCTTCTGCCACATTCTGTCATCCAGCAGGAGAAGTGAATGGCAGAAAGTAACACTGGGGAAGTTGGAAAGGAATGCACATGCAAAATCTCTCAAATCAAAGCAGTTCTGCCTTTTATTCAACAGCTGATGTGGAAGCAGAAAGTGCAGATTTGGGCTGAAAAGAGTATGAAGAGGATGAGGGGAGGAGCCCTGAGGAGGGAGAAGTACGGTGTGCCACTGGGAAAAGGGCACTGGAGAGTGTGTGACAAGTGGTGTGGCAACCAGTTACTGTTGGAAACTTGCATACAGTGCAAGTATGCAAGTTTGTAGGCATCATTTTAATGTTTTTGGTCACAATTTCATTAATCCTTTTGGTGGGGGGGATGTGGTGTGCACACCATCTCATAGATTTTCAGCCAAGTCAGACCTACCCACAGACCTGTTGTATCACATATATGCTATACCTCACTTCACTGTGTTAGTGATATACTGTCAACAGTTTCCTTTGCTGAGATTATGCTTCCCCAGCATTCTACTTTTTGATGTGGGAGCTGCTACAACACTTGCAGCAGAACTCTGTGAGGTTGAAAGAAGTTCAAATGTTCACTTATGCCTCCATAGATGTTAAGTGACATGCTGTCACTTCAAATGTAATGTTTCTCAGAATGAGCAGGGGGAAGTGTTTCAGGCTATTATTCTGCAGCAAGGACATCTGCCTGCAGGAGCTATACAAGATAGCTAAAGGGTGTTTAAAACCTGAGGTATGTTAATTCTGAGTGTATTGGCAATGACTGCGTCTTTTCTTTGTTTTGCAGAATTGGTCTGGGAGTCTTGTTGTAGCCTCCTTAACTGGTGCTTTTGGGTCGTCTTTTCTTTACGGCTACAATCTGTCGGTGGTGAACGCTCCCGCAGGGGTAAGTGACTGACTAAAGTGGAATTTAACATCAGTAGAGGGCAGCCTTGTCCAACTATTGTCTCCTCAGCATCCTGCCTTTAAAGTACCCCTGATTACATAGTGGAAGGGGATTAAATCTTGTATAGCAACATTGTTTGCCCAAAACCTTCTTTCTGCTTCCCGTGAGGTTTTCACATAAATTCAGTAAGTGTCAGAGAGCTAAGTGCTGCTGTTGAGGTGAATGGGTGCACATGGTTTGCTTCTCATTCTCCCAGGTCCAGGCTAATCATGACTCTTCTTGCACACTTTTATGTGATAAAGCATTTTTAATATCGGACTGGTGAGTATTCGGTGGCTGCGTGCACATGTTCAGCAACTTCTGTTCACGTCATCCTATTCTAGAGGGTTGCACAACATTTCATTCCCACAGCACTGATGCTGTAAATAATGCCTCTGGTTTCCTCTTAAATGATGGGCCCCCTGTTCTGTGGTGATGTCTTGTTTGGTTCTGAATTCTAAACTTCTTCAACTACTGGCTGCAACATGTGGGATAGATTTGATGAATAGAGCACTGTGAAATCAGTATACAAAATTTGTGGGATTTCATTAAAATATCAGTTATTACAAATGGAAATCTGAACATTTTGTTTTTACACTGGCTGTCTAGAGACCCTCAATTCAGTCAAGCACAGCAGGAAGCAATTCAGGGGAGTTGCAAGCAACACTATTTTGAGAAGTAACTTGTAAATATTGGAAATAAACTGTGCCCAATATTTGGTTCCTTTCCAAAATAGCTCACTTCCAAAGCTAACCTCCTTCTTTTATGAAAATCTCCTATTAAAATATGTTGCTAGATTTATACCTAAGCAGGTTTTTCATGTTAAAGCTGGATGCAATATTTATGCAAATAACAAAAGAAGCATTTTTTAAAATTTATGTTCTATATGTGGATTTTACTTGGTAAACTGTTGACCCAAAGGAGCAGGAAGACACTCAGCCTATAGAAATCTTTAATTGCTTGCTTAATAACTTCTGGGAGTTTTCTTCAAGCTCCTTTTACATCCTAGTTATTCAAGGCTGGATAAACTGGATGTTAGCATGACATGTCCAGTCATCACTTTACCTTGCAGCCATCAGAGGATAAAAACAGCTTAGAAAAAATCAGCAAGAAGCTGTAATTCTGTGAGCCATGGTATTGATTGTCCTGATGGAAAAATCCTTCCTGCACTGCCTTGGGGCTGTCAACAGTGCTGCAACAATGAGCCAATTTCTAAACTTTTAAGTACCATTTAAAAAATGGACTGTCCTGGTAGTCAGAACTTTCTGTCACTTTCTGCAGGAGTAAGGGTAAGAAAGGATGATGGGATGTGCTCCTTGGCAGCACTCAGAAAGTTCTCGTTGAATCATGTGATAGATTACAGTGGTGTGGGCAGGGAGGTTGAAGATGCAGCCCTGTGAAAAATGCTAAATTCCAGGTTTTGTACTTAATAACACTTCCAGGATTGTCTGGTTCTGTTTGCAATATTTAGTGTGGCTTTTGTGCTGGAACTGGGCACTATGCTGATGGCTTTGGTCAAACCATTACAGGTATGCATGAAGTCTCCCTTGGTGTTCAGTGTTTGATTGAGAACTTCATAACTCTCTTATACGTGTTAAGCCATACATTAGCTAGGGCTAAGGAGCAGTCCTACTGACAAGGAAGATGTGTAGTTCAAGAAGAAAATACCACCCTGTCCTGTGGCCCTCTCTCCAGGATTGATGTGTGCCATCCATTTGCCTACAGCAGACCCCTTTCCTGTCCCTGTCCCTGCAGCTGCAGTGACCAGGTTGAAGGGAGAGCAAAGGCTGAGGTCATGGCCATGGTGGGCAGCAGTGAGCCACATCAGAGCTGTGCTTCTTGCCCCATCTGTTTTCTCCTGTATGTGACTCAATCAGACTGCTGCAAGGTGACCCCTTGGGAATGATGTGAGATGACAGAAACACCAAAGCTGAGCATCTTGTAGCTGTAGGTAAAAGCAGCCTTGTAAGAGATTATTCTGGGAATGCAGCAACCCCTACAAGTTGTAAGCTGTGTTTCTTTTATAAACTTGGTAGGAAGAATAATTTCTATAGGATACTGGGTGTCGTCTGTCCCTGTTTACCTCAGTACAATTCCTCTTGATGCTGAAGTCCTACAGCCTTAGAGGAGGACTGTATAATCCTTTGAGAAGTAGTGAAAAAAGGCTTGATTATGACAGTTGACTTAAACACAGAATGTTTCCAGGATCCTAGAACTGAGCATGTCAGCAGGAGCTGATGGAGTGAAGGGAGTAAATTTAAGACTGAATTGTTGAAGAACCATATGTAAATTCTTGTGTCCACTTCCTTTCAGTGCCACAAGTTGTGTCAGCTCATCAAACCACAGGGGAATTCTCCTACAGTTCTCACTGGTGGGCTTTTTTTCAGGTCATCTCATGAGGCAGAGTTAGTCTGACTTCCTGATTGTTACAAGGGGGAAATAAGCTGCACAGACTCTGTTCAGAGCTGAGATTGCTTCCCACTCAGTTCCCTGTGGTTCTGTGGGAAAGAGCATGGCCCATCACAGGTATGATTCCCTGAGAAACCCAGAATTACGAGTTTCCATGGGCTTGTTCAAAGAGTCACCAGAATTTATTAAAAACATATGGGAGCTATTTGGCAACAGGAAGACAAAAGATTTAATTGAATACAAGATGAAGCTGTCTTTTTCTGAGCTGGATTTCTCCAGTTCATTTCATGGACTGATTGTGGCAATGCCTGTGGAACAATGATGTGCTTTGTGCTCTGTGAGGGAAGCCAAGTCCCTGCTACTTTCTGCTCTGCAGCCCTTGCCCTCTTCCTGCAGGAGGCTGCAGCTCTGAGTTCCTATGGCACAAACACACAGCCTGCTGTGACAGCTGGTTCTGTAGTTGTCACTGTGTGTGAGTGACCTCTGTAACTAGGGGTAAGACAAGGAAAATATTTCTCTTGATTTTAAAATATATCCATTAAATTCATATATATAAAAATTTATATATTCCTTATATTCCTCTTCTCTTTCTCGTCCCAGCACTACTATCATAATGAAGTGAGGCAGTTGAGAAAATAAGATACTGATATCTATCAGCCACCATTTTTTGTAGGCTTTGTTTACAGGCTAGAATTTCTGTATACAAGTTTATGCTTTTAGTGTTATTGAGAGACCTGATCAAAAATTCCCAAGAGAGTTTTACACAGAATTTAATGGATTTGAATCCAGTGGATTTGTTCTACCAAGTTTGTTTTTTTTCATGTGCATCTTCTGAAAAGTTCTATGTTTTATTAGCTTCCTATTTTTTGGCAATGGGAGTCCAGAGAGAGGTGTTAGTACATGTCAGAGCATCCATCTATCTGTCACTAGTGAGTGTTTTAGTTTGTACTTTCTTTTCTTGAATATTTGCAGTTATTTGATGTCTCCTTGTAAATAACTAAGCTATGCTGAGAAAATTAGTCATAACACAAGGGGACAGTAATTTGCATACTATTTTTAGCCATTATCATTAACAAGAAATGCTATTAGTGTTCTAAAAGTGTTTTCTCTCAGTAATCATTACTATCAGAAATTGATTTCAAATAGACAAGAAGATGTCTGAATCAAAATATAATCTGAATATTGGTGTTAAAGAACTAAGATGTTACTACTTGATTTAATGGCAGATTCATTTGGAATCTTACTCTGAAACTTCTAAATGATTCAAGCACCAAAATGACTTGCCTTTTTTATTTTTAAGATTAGTTTTAAATGTTTTTTCCCCTGTCTGTTTGGAAACATTCAAGATGGGATGGGAGAAATAACCTTGTTCTCCTTTTAATTCAGGGTAAAAAGAGTTTAATAGAAATTTGATGGATGGAAGACAAGAAATTGTATATTCCACCTTCACCTTTCTTAGGTATTTTGTCGATGGAGAGGTGATGATTTTAGTTTGCTAAAAGCCCTCAAATAGAATATTTCATGTGTCCAAGGCCAGACTTTAGGCAAAGTTTGAAATTCCTAGTTTGAACAGGGAAAATGTGGTGGAATATTATGCTGAGAAGAAACTGGGAAGAAGTAAGTAAAGATACAAGATCAAACTTTTGGTACTGTAGAGCTTGAGAGCTTTTCCCAAGTGTGCTGTGCCCTTCTGCTGTAGTGACTGCAACTTCTTGGTACTGCCTCCTCACCAGAGCATCAGGCACCACGGTGGCATTTCATTGGTTTTGAAACAGCAGCAGCGCAAAAACAAGGAAGCTTGACTAAAGAGAAAGTAAATAGGAGATGTCTCTGCAGGCAAACAGAGACTGTGTTAAAACACTGTCCTGGAGCTATGACATCTTTACCTTTTAAAAAGATGAAAAACTTATTCTAATTAAACATCAGGGAAGGGAAGTTGTTAGAAGGCATCCTTCAAAAATCTGTGGTTGTGCTCTTGTGAGGAAAGCAGAGGAAGAGTGTAAACTTTGGCAAGTTAAAGGCTAAAGGGTGATCTCGTCCTGGGCAGTCTTGGCTATCTGTGGATATTTTTCCCCATCCCCATACAAGGTTTGGTACTGCCTTGTAGTTATATGTATATATGCTTGGACAGACTCATCTAGTTTTATTGCAGTTCTATCTATAAATGAAGCCCCATTTTTTGGAGGAGAGAGACAGAAGAGCAGAAGTGATTCCTGCAAGAAAGCTACTGCGGGTTTTCTGGGTTTTTAATTCTGTTTCTCTCAGTTGTATTCCTCAAGTGTGATATATTTTTGCACATATTTTTATTATTTATTTTCTTTCAGTTTATCAAGAAGTTTTACAATGAAACTTGGGAGAGGAGATATGGCTTCTCAGTGGATGAAGGCACGCTGACACTCCTCTGGTCGATAACTGTTTCCATTTTTGCCATCGGTGGCCTTGTGGGTGCCATTATTGTAACCCCAATTGTCAAGTTCTTTGGGAGGTAAGTGTTTTGGAAAACTTGCATTTTCTAAAGTAGTTTCTCACTTAGCCTCTCTAGAAGGTTTTACTTTTATTACAAAACAAAACTTTAAATTCTGAAAACTTACTGTGCGTCATTTGAGTCGCAGAAGCCATTTGCTCTGAACGGGCAGTGGGTTGAGATCTCAAGGAGTGTGACTTGTCAAATATGCCAAAGGAAAATACATAAAATACAAATTATTTCAGAAAAGACTGGCAGCATCTTGTTTCATGAGTTTACTAAATATCTTACTGTAAACAAACAAAGCTATCATCATATCTAATTTGCTTCTTAACAGCATTTGCTGTCATATGGTAATAAAAATTTACTCTTTTTTCAATCCTTGTGTCAACTCAAAATACAGTTTGAAGAATTGGACTCGGATGAAGTTCCTGTATGGCCTTCCCCAAGAAGGGGGTAGGGCATTCTGCACAATGCAGTATTTTATCAAGTCTTGACCATAGAGAATATGAGTATTTTAGGAATGTTTGTATTGGTGTGTGTTTGCATTTTTGCTGCAGGTACTAACTAGGTATTTCTGTAAAATTTTTGTGTCATACAGTCTTTCAAATAGGATTTGAAAGGTCATTTATAATTTATCTATATTTAGAAGAGCATGGGAAAAAAACCTCACCATTGTCGCATTCATCATAACTGCTCGTTTGGATTTTTCTTAATTGTAAATTCAATATTATTTGATATCTTTTAGTCAGCTAAATCACAGGCGAACGTCATCATTGAGGCTTAAATATAAGTGTAAACCTTTAGTGTTCTTACTTTCCTGTTTCACATTCTGACTATTTCCAATAGATTGTACTTTCCTAGGTCTATTTTTCATTCTCCCAACCTGTCCATATGTCATATTTCATCTCAATGGGTGTATTTTCAGGTTCCTTCATTTCATGCTTACAGCAAGTCAGTATTCTTAGCTGTTACCCATTCTTCATGATTTTTTTTGTCACTTCAGCACTTGATTTCCAATTTTTAAATATTTTCCATAGTTACATTATTTATTTTTTCAGGTTTTCAATTTCTTCTGCCAAATCATGCATTTGGTTTTAACATACTTGTTAGAAATATGAAATTGTGCCTGACTCAGACTGATTAATTCTCAGTAAATAGTTGAGTCTTTATTAAAACAAAGTGAAGTAAAAATGGGTTCACAGAAGTCTAGAATTTTCAGTGAAGAGTACAACAGCTTTGTGTGCAGGTTTGTCAAAATTGATAAAATTGTTAAAATAGTTAAAATGGTGGCTGATCTCTGCTGTAGATACACTTCCACTGGAGCTGGTCAGGTTTCCAGGGCAGATCTTTACACTTGCAGACTCTGCCCCTGTTTATTATGTTTATCTCCATGATGCCATGAAAACAGCTCTGTTACAGATACAGAGTGCTGGAGCAGAGATGGGAAGGGGCTGTGAATAAAGGCTGCTCACCAAAGAGTGGTTCTTGAGTTTGCTGCTCACCCTGCGGAGTGTTTGTCTGGTCTAGGAACCCAGACTGACATGTCATTATGGTAATTGAGGAGCACACAGTGAAATGTTGACAGAACAATAAAATACTTTGCTGTTAAATTGCTCAAGTGTAGGTTGGAGGGTTGTATCTATGATGAAGCCGAGCTCCATTTACACTGACACAGAATAATGAGCTCAGGGGGATTAAAAGCACTAGTCAAAAATAATGCATGACTTTAAAAGAACACTTTTGAATCATATTGCTATAAGGTTAAAAACATAAATTCCAAATTACTGGATTCCTATTTACTTCAAGAGACATGTAAAGTAATTTTTTGAAAGGGAACCTTCATCCACATAAACATAATTCTCAAGTTCAGATGTGGCTTTAACTCTTTGTAACCTAAATTCTCCTCTTCTAACAAAGAGAGTCTGCTGCTGTTTATCCTGACACCCAGACCAATATGCTCAAGGGATTGTTTAGGTCACTTCTAGGATCTCTCTAGAAGGAAGGAGAGGCTGAGCATCACACCAGGCTCCTCTCCTTGCTCTTGGTACCACAGCCATTGGTCACACTCAGTGCCTTCGGTGAGAGAAGGGGCAGTGCAAGGGCTCAGGGTCAGTGTGCACAAATTCCTCTGTGCCATTCCTTGCTCCTCACTCCCCTGTGCCCTAGCGTGGGTCCCCATGGACCACAGTCCTTGCTCAGGCCTGGATCACCCTCTCCTCCAGTGGCCTTGTTACACCCTCGCTCCATCTCCCCACAGAAGCCACCCCTGCAGCCCCGACAGTCCCCAAACCCTGCCACAGACACTGCTTTCCATAGCAACACCCTAAATGCAGGGTTCTCTTCATTTCCTTTTCATTCTGTCAAAGTCTTTGTTTTTATCATGCTTAGTTAGGCTGTGCTTTTCTCTTCTCAGCTGCATAGTATAAGGGTTTGCTGGCCAACTTTTTCTCAAAAATATGTATTTTATAGTTTTTATTTAAATTAAAGGAGAAAAAAGCAGTATCTTCAGATGAATAAGACTTGTTTGACCCAAATGAACATTTTCTTTCCAGTTCTGTCATTATTTGTATCACTTCAGCCATCTCAGAGTGTATATCCACCTGAAAAATCTGTTCTAAACAGTTACAGTCATCAGTTTGATGGTTGTGCTGTATAGACTTTAAATGAATTGTATCTAATTTTTCTATCTTCAAGCCATGCTATTCATTGAGTGTTCAAAACTCACTAGAAAGCAGGAAACATGATTAAAAATACAGGTGTTAAATATAGCTCCTTTCAAAAACATATGCGTCTGTTGTGAGAAGTTGGGCGACTTTTTCAATGGGAGTGAAATTTCCTCTTGATACTTACACATTGAAAAAAATTAGAACTGGTGGGACAGGAAAGGGATAGACAGCTTTCCTGGTCACTCCTTTTTAATTTGTCCCTCAAACTTGAGCAGAAAGTTCTGAGAGATGAAAGCTAAAAGGAATTAGGGTGTTGGCAAATCAAAAGTTTAGATGTTTTGAAAATTTCGAAACGCATTTTTGTGATTTGGTTTATGTTTTTTAACAAAGTAATAATTTGCCATAAAGAGTATTTTTTTATTTGAAAAAAAACCCCTAGTATTTTATTTAACTGTTATAGAATGAAATAATTTTAAAATGGGGAAGAAGTATGTAAACCTGTATTTTTATTAATTCCAATAATTTTTAGAAAAGTGTTCCTTTTTATTACTTGAATGAACCCAAACATTTTTCCTAACTCTACAAGTAGGAAGTAATTTTCCTCAATGTATGGTTTCAATATTGAGAATTTAGGGATGAATTATAATGACACAGGTGATGTCACAGTTGGGAAGTTCTTGAAGTGTCAAAAACTGTATGTCACATTAAAGTGCCTGTAGTTATATCAGCTTATTGCTATTTGAAGTATATTCTTTGGGTTCTCCATACAGATGTCTATCCAGAATATGCTTAATTATATTCATTTACGGAGCCTCAGACCTGGCACTTGGGTTTTAGGATGCATAAGCTGGCTCCTTGCTGTCCTGTTGAAGTACAGCTCTTTAGTTACCTATGTTATGTTTTCTTTTAAACTGTGGTATAGGTTTGAAACTGTACCCACGTGGGTATAGTGCTGTTTTTCAGAACTCCACCCATCTAAGAGGCAGTGTTTGTTAGGCGCTTTTTATTTCTAGATATTTAAGAATAATAGCTTAGTGTGCTTCTAATACAGCTACATTTAGCTGCCAGGATGCTGGTTTCTACCTAAACCATCTTTGCCTTTTAGGAAATGCACATTGGTGCTCAATAATGTGTTTGCAGTGGCAGCAGCACTGCTGATGTCCCTGTCCTTGCTGGCTGGGTCGTTTGAAATGCTCATCCTGGGCCGCATCATCATGGGAGTGGATGCAGGTAAGCTTTGGTCCTGCTCTACATGTCTGATATGCCTGTGCTGTGCACACACTGCAGGTCAGCTTTGGTCACACTCTGCATGTCTGAAATGCCTGTGCTGTGCACACACTGCAGGTCAGCTTTGGTCCTGCTCTACATGTCTGAAATGCCTGTGCTGGGCACACACTGCAGGTCAGCTTTGGTCCTGCTCTACATGTCTGAAATGCCTGTGCTGTGCACACACTGCAGGTCAGCTTTGGTCACACTCTACATGTCTGATATGCCTGTGCTGTGCACACACTGCAGGTCAGCTTTGGTCCTGCTCTACATGTCTGAAATGCCTGTGCTGTGCACACACTGCAGGTCAGCTTTGGTCCTGCTCTACATGTCTGATATGCCTGTGCTGTGCACACACTGCAGGTCAGCTTTGGTCACACTCTGCATGTCTGAAATGCCTGTGCTGGGCACACACTGCAGGTCAGCTTTGGTCACACTCTACATGTCTGAAATGCCTGTGCTGGGCACACACTGCAGGTCAGCTTTGGTCACACTCTACATGTCTGATATGCCTGTGCTGTGCACACACTGCAGGTCAGCTTTGGTCACACTCTACATGTCTGATATGCCTGTGCTGGGCACACACTGCAGGTCAGCTTTGGTCACACTCTGCATGTCTGAAATGCTTGTGCTGGGCACACACTGTCTCCTCTTCCCCTGCCAGAATTTGCTTTACATCAAAGAGGTGTTCCAGGGACTCGCAGTAGCCCCACTGATTTCACTGGGACAAAATGGCACACTAAGGGCTGGAGGATCTGATGTTTGGAGGAAACACTGGGATGGATGCTCACCACTGCTAACAAAGCTGTTGTTTCCCCACCTTTCCTTTTCCAGCCATGGTAGAGTGTATTTGTTTCCATGCCATGAAAACTTCTTGACTAGGAGAGTTTATTCTGCTATTAACACTGCTTTTTGCTGTGCTTAGCAGTTGTTGGATCCCATGTTAATACCTGCAGGACTAGGGAAGGTTGGTACTTCATCAGTTGTTCCTAGCAATATGGTGTTCCCAGTTTGAAAGTAAACCATGGAGGCACTGCATCACCAGAATAACCTGGCAGCTAGAAGGAAGGTTTTCTGCTAATTTTTATCCCAGATTGCCATCAAGCAACCAAACTTCTGGAGCTGTGCAAACATTGCCATTGCACTGACCAGGGTCATGCATTTGTTTGTTCTGTTCCTGGCTTTAAACAGCATTCCAACTCTTATTTTATGCCTATTGTGAAGAGTTCATTGCAGCAATAAGCCTGTATTGAGAGGAACATCTGCTAATACTGTTTACAGTAAAAATACTCCATCTGACAATGTCTGCTCTGTCTGACTGATGCACTGGGCTTTTGTTCCCTTACCCACACCTGTGTTAACATGATTTTGCTTGCTTTGGGATGAGAAAATTTAAAATATAAAATCTGTTCTGGAGATTCTCATCTCTGAGTAACCTTTGGTGCTCCACATCAAAAAGCAGCCTACACACGTTGCTGTAGATCTGTAAAAGATAATCAATCCCATTGTTATTAAATGGTGTGAGACTAATTAGACATGCAGGGAAAATGAATCATGTTATGTATGGACAGATATAATTCTGTTCCTTGCATGTTTTTATGCCACCCTTGTGAGCAGATTATCACTCAGGCTCCTTTCAATAGAAATTTGTTGCATACCTGGCATAATAGTATGTTTTGACTTAATATATGGATTTTGTTCTTCTTTTATAGGCATTTCATTAAGTGCCCTCCCCATGTATTTGAGTGAAATATCTCCTAAGGAAATCCGCGGTTCATTGGGTCAGGTCACAGCCATTTTCATTTGCATTGGTGTTTTCACTGGTCAAGTTTTGGGGCTGCCAGAAATATTTGGGCAAGTAAGTATTTAACAGACCTTTTCTATCAAGGAACACAAGCTTGCTCTAAGTGTCATAGTTTCATATTGTGACTGGATTCTTCACAAAAGTGGAAAACAGAAATATTTCTTTTTTGTTATGAAGCACTTTGAAAAGTAGTTTCCTCCATGTCTTCTACAAGCATATACTAAAAGCATGGCTAAGTTTGGTAGATGTGGCTAGCAGGTTCAACAGCTTGAGTGGCTTGTGTGTGTCAGTATGCACATCTCCTTTTCCCCCTTTCTTGATGTACATCTATTTTTTTTAGTTTCCAGTTCCTTTGGACACCATGGAAATGCGTAAGAGTTTTTATATTTTTGATCTCTAATTTTTCAGTGTGAGATAGAGCTGAAAAGGCTTGCTTAGAGTTATTATAAAACCTGAATAGGAAGATGCTTGCTTAGTGATTATAGTATTCCTTGTAGTGCAATCCTTACTTGCCCGGCTTTTAGACTAAGTGATGGAAGAGCAGAGTTAACACACACCTCTATGGAAAGATTATCTATTCAGATAAGAGGTTGTCTTGTTGTCATAGGTTGAGATTAACTTGGTGGCCACTGGATGTCATCATTACTCTGAATAAATGAACTCGAGTTTTGTTCAGGCTGGCACTTGGACATACAGAATCACACAACGGGTAAGGATTGAGGGAGCCATGCTGCTCATCTGATCTGACCAGGGGTTTTCCATTCAGAGATGATTCTTCAAGGCAGTGTGGAGGAAAGGTCTACAGCAATCCTCTCACAGTGAAACTTGAACACAGAATCCCTTCTGTCAGCCGGAAAAAGTAGTAAGGAGTTGGAAAGTGAGAGGAGCTTTACCTTCTCCGTCCATCCAAAGGCAGCTCCTTTGTAAATACATGATACCATCCTCCCTAACACTTTTATTTTTGCCTGACCAGCTTTCTTATTCTGTCCCTTTATTCTGTTCAGCTCTCCTGAAGGCAAATGATTTGATTCAATTTACTCTTTATTGAAGGACAGATTTCTTCCCTGCCAATACAAAGCAATAGATTTTAGGGAAAAACTTAAAATGGCTTTTATTGTGTGACTTCAACAGATGTCCCTTCAATTAGCTTGGGAGCAAGTTTATTACAAACAAGCGTATGAAATGTCAAGAGGCCAATTTGATTGATCAGAGTATGGCAGCCCTTATGTAGCAGGAGATTTTTTTAATTTTGATTTTTGATACATGCATGCACTTTTAAAGTTGAGGTGTCGGGAAAATTCTTATTCCTTGATTTCAGCTCATTATTGCTGGTTTTATTTCTCTGCTTGGCTTCCTTTCATCACTGTTGTTGCTGCTCCCAAATTATGGAGGTAGTGTTTCTGTTTCTACAAATTCCTTTAGTGTGAAGTCAATTAATATCGCACCATTAAAGACAGACATTAAGTAGGAAGAAATATGCTTTATCTACAGAATTCGTTTTCTCAAGATGGGTAACATCAGCATGTTTTGAAGCAAAGAAGCAAAGTTTTGGCCGATGTGGATCACAATATTTCCAACCAATTTATTGGAGGCAGCTTGAATATTCTAGTTGGGTATGTGGGTGGGGTTTTTTCTTTTCATTCCTCTTGGTTTCAGTCAAACCAGGATTTTTTTTCCTTAGATTTCTGGGGTTCCCATTGAAACTCCTTCAGTGGGAGTTGGTTTTAATTTTGCTGCTCTGTAGTTGTTTGTTTCTTATCAGAATTTGTTGTAAATAATACGACTTACAAAAACTAGTCTTCTGTCATAGTTTCATAAGGTTTCTGCTGAGATCTGTCATGTCTATTACTTGTAAATTGAGCAGATATCTAAGAGGTTGTTAACCATTGTATCTAAGCATCGATGGTTTTGAAGAAAGGAGGGACAAAAACAGAGATGAGAGTCTTGCTGGAAGAGAATCTTTGGAAAAGGGATGGACATACGAATGGCTGTCAGCATGGCTGAGGTCCTTCTTGTAAGAGGAGGTGACAGCAATATTGCTTGTGTGGTCAAGTCAGCAGAGGGAAGGGACAGGAACTGACTGCACCTTGTTAACACAAGGAACAAGGAATAGAGTGGCCTAATCTCAAAGACAATATGGCTACAAGAATGATTTTTTTAAATAAATATTGTGTGAATAATTGCACGCTCAAATTTGTCAGAGTGATGTTTGGAACAGACTCCCGGCTGAAGTAACTTGAGCAGAAAATTAAAATTTTAAATTGGAGCTTGATGCATTTATGTGAATTACATGAGGTTGTTGCCTTAAGTGTTTCTGTAGAAGTCTCTCTGCAGAAAAGGAAAGTGTTTATGTTGGCTGTGGGGCATAGTGTTAACAAGCACTTATTAACAACCTAAGTGATGATTTCCTCTGTTATCAAATGCAAAAGTGTTTCTTTAAATATGAAATTGTGATAAAAATAGCTCTAAAGCAATGAGTATTACTTGAGGCAATTCAAAAGTCCTTACTGCTTTTTGTATCGAGTATGTTAAGGAGCCCTAAACTGATTTTTTAGCAATCTTTCTTTCGTCAAGACTGGTCAAGGTGCAGCAGGAGGGATGTGGGCGGCCCCAGGTGCAGTGCTGAGGGGCAGTGTCAGCTCTGGCTGGGTTACTGGCTCAAGGCTGGTTGGCTGTTTCCCATTCCTTCAGTTTTCCCAAGCTTTCTATTGAAAGTGCTGAAGATTGGCAATCTTCTCCTTTCCTTCTAATACCTTCTCATGCCAGTTCTGTCAACTTATTCACATAATTCTTTTGATCAACTGTTATTTATTCCTTAGTACTTTTCTTTTTTTTTTTCACCCCCTTCTACAGTGTGCTTCCTCTCTCCTCCCCCTATCACTTGTGATCTTTGTGTTTCAGATTAAACTTCACCTCCTCTAGTAACACAAGCTCTTTAATCTCTTTCTCACCCTGTAAGCTGTTGTCTCCAATAGTTCCTGGTTTAAATTCAAACCTAGGAGAACAAGATTATACAGCTAACCCAGATGAAATAATACTTTATAAAAACAAGAATTATATTAAATATTTACTGGTTTTCCTGGGAATATTTTGTCTGAAGTATTGCAGAAATGCAATTTTTAATGCAAATTAAATACAATTTAATTCTTTTCTGTGTCCTGCCATATTGGCGTGAACTAGACAAACATGACTATGTCCAATTTTTAAATTATAGTATAAAAGAGCAAATGGAACAAAAAATTTACAATCTAATAAAGACTGTAATACCTAAATACAGGCAATATTTTTGATTCTGGTTAGATAGAATTTCATTGTGTTTTCCTCCAAAGGTACTAATTTTAGAATGTGTTTCTTCAGTATGCAGTGCTTACCAAGTGTGATTATGTGAGAAAAGTTCCAGTTGTGATAGCAGTCCTCTGCTGCAGTGACTTAATAATCTTACTTGCTTTTCACAGTCCTAATTGCCTCCCATCCAACAAATTGCAGCTATGCTTCTTATTCACAATTCTGATTCTTATAGGTCTGGGAAATCCTGAGGCTTGGGAAATTGCACCATGGTAAAGGGGGCTGGTGATCAGAGTACAGAGCACGATGACTTCATGTGCTGGTGACCTGCTTCTCCCCAGCACCTCAACAAGCTGTGTGCTTCTTTTCACCTGCTGGCATCTTGTGTTCTGTAAGCCAGAGTCCTTAACTCTTGAGGAAGCCACGGCATCTGTAGGTGACAACTTGGTGCAGGCCCACGGGTGTGCAAGGATGTTATCTGCTGTAATGTGGGCACTGAATTATTGCTGCTGGCTACAGGATTATTTAATTCAGGCCAATTTTGGTTGTACAGCATGTGCAGCTTTCCATATATCTGACTGAAGGAAAAAAACAGATAATAAGATAAGGACAAACTATCTTAGACCAGTCACGTCTTCAAACACTGCCCTTCAGGTATTTCTGTTCTCTCTGTTTCTGTGATTCTGCAATTGAATCACCCAGCCTATTTTTCCTGACAGATTGCTCTTGCAAAGCAAAGGCCAGCACACTGTCAGCTTCAGTTTTGAAAGTTCAAATTTACACTTACTGTCTTGGGGAAATATTGTCTGGCCTGATTCTGACACATTCCATGTAACTTTAGGTATCACTCTGGCTAACTCATCTAGTTCCTCCTGCAGGGAATGTCCTGCTCCACAGGTTTTCCTTAGCATGGTAACATCTCCTAAACATTGTAAACTGTCTGATTGTCTTTTCTATGGCTTCATGTTGTTTAATGAAGGTGGGCTTTAACCTTTCCCTAAATTATAGAGGATTTTGTTTCTGAATACATTTTCAGTAGTCACAGTATTCTTATTTTCAACATACATTGTTCTTCAGTATCTCTTTCATCTGTGCATCAATATCAGAGAGAAAAAAAATGTTTCACAGTGTATATATTGATTCAGGACAGGTAAAGCTGAAATAGTTGCCTTTGCCATGCCATGCTTTCCTCAGACCTCAGCTTTGAGCCCCTTTTCCTGCTCTTGGCGTACCAGGCTTTGCCAAGCTGCAGCTGTTTTCCCTGGAGCTGGCTCCAGTGCCTGGCCAGCTCTGGCTGCTTCTCTGACTGAACAGCTGCTCTTCCCATTGGTACACCAATGGACAAATAGAATTTGGTTTTTGTCTGTTTACTTCACTAGCTCTACTTTAAAAACTTGAAGTGTTTCTAGGTCATGCAGGCAGGAGCTTGCCTGACTACATCATGGTTGCATTGTTTCCTAGTGGATAGCCTGTTTCCCTAAAAACTTTGCTTGGCTTGCCTGCTAAGACTTATCAGGGGAGCACTTCCTGAATGAACCCATATGATGTGTTAGTGTTTCAAGGCAAAAAAAACAAAAACAAAAACAAAACAAAACCAACAAGGTAAAGATCCTGATGTATCCATCTCTTGAATGTTGCAAGTAGAATAGGTTTAGTCATTCGTCATTCTGTTTTAAGAGTGTAATCAAGCAGTACAAGGTACAGGAGTGAGCAACAATGATCAGATTTGGAAAGTGGCTTCTTGAGGAGAAAAATCGGGGTTAGACAGC